GACATTTTCTTGTTTTTCTCTTCTTTTTTTATTTTGCAAATGCATTGTTTTTATAAAAGATTTCTTTTATTGTTGTAATTTTGTTCAGTCTCAAAGCCACACCTAGAGGGGACAGGCTTATCTTCACCGCACTAACACAACATGCACCTTTCACCTGCTGCAGTTCTCAACTGGTGGCATTTAAACTTATCTGAAATACTACTGTTTGTACCCTCCCCCACAAAATGCTTGGACATTGGGTTTCACTTTCTTTTAGTCAAAAACTAATGTGACCTTCACTGTAACATTATATTAGTTGAATAGTACTCTACCGATTTAGTGTTACACTCTTGTGACACCTCTGGACTCCTGATGGACAGCTTAAAAAAGGTACAAAATTAATGAACCAGAACCAAAGATAGTCTTTTTTTTATTTCAGACATTCTTCGTCCTTGTCAAAAACTGCCACCTACATTACCCAGAATGCAACTTGACTGCCAATAGTTTGATTATAGATTGAGGTAGCAGGTAATGTAAGCTGGAGCCTGCGAGGAAGAGTGGGTTGAAGAGGTTTTTTTTTTTTTTTTTTTACTTACTGGCCCTCAACCCAGCCACTGCTGACTCAGTGACATCACTTGAGGATATTTCTTGGACTTCACACAGCTCTGCAGACACAAAGGGTCTTAGACACCTTACTTACACATGTAGGAGCGCTCCCCATGACTGATGCTGCCCTCTCTGGTTTAAACTTTCAAGCATGTTTTACCTGGATTGCTGGGTGTGGCCAGACGTGTGCATAGTTACATCTGCATTTACATTCAGCAGTTTACCTGTGCATCACTGCAGCAAGGTGAGGCTCACTCGCTCAACATAAACATTTTCTCTTTAAAGCTCAGTCACCTCAGCATTAGATAAATGAAGTGCTCCTGTATACTTTCACTGTCAACAAAACCTGATTTTGAAGATGGCAATCCGCTAAATATGTGTGGAAGCTTTGGTAACACTTGATTATCTTGGTCTTAATGCTGGATTGCCAACCAGGCAAAGTGGGCACCTGCACCGGGGTCCCAGACTGTCATAGCCCCTGAAGTGGGGGCCATTAAAACTTGGCGTCAGTTGTAATGATAAGGCTCTTGCATATGTTGTGGCCCTGTCCTACTAGAGAAACTTCAGTGAAAATCTAGTTGTAATGACTTCAGTATCTCACTTGATATTATAATTATATAATAAAGTCCTATTATATATATTCCTCAATCATATGTATTTAAAATAGTGAAGATAGCATATTGCCTTTTTTGCCTCTGGCCCTGTAGCAGGTTAATCCAGCCCTGATGGGTCCCACAGATCCAATCATTTTCTAAAAGTGTCGATTTCTAGAACAGACTACAGGGGAAGTTGAGTCTGTTCTGTTTTTTCATACAAGTTAAATACAGATTGGTTTTTCTCATTTGTTGTTTTATGGAACTCAACACACCTCAAATAACTGTCTTGTAATTTGTTCTCCATTTTCCAAAAGATTATTTGTTCCTTCTGTGAAACCTGTAGGAAATAATTAGGACATTCCAGACCCCTTAAAACAGTGTTACCAAAACTCCTGCCAGCGTGAACAGATCTGCTGCTATCAGGTGGTGGTCTGATCTTTAAAAGCGTCTCCATCATTGGACCCAACATGTCTTGTTTTGTTCTCTGTACTGAATCTAAACAGTGGTTTCATGTCAGTTGTGTCCGTCTTGGTATCTGAAGGTTTGGTTACTTGATGTGTCTGTGGTTGGTCTGAAGCAAGTCTCTGTCTGGATATGTCGAGTCCAGCAACAGAGCTTTGTGCCAGCTGTGTTGTAGCATGTGTGGAGCTCCTCCTGCACTGAGCTCAGTCTAATCACTGTGAGCAGGCAGCAGTCAGCAGTTCCCCACCATTCCCCACTTTATCTTCTAGACCACCAGAGAGAACTCTCTGTGTTAGCCCCTTTTTAGCTGCTGACCTTGAGGAGAAGGTGTCATTATGGATTCATCAGAGAGATAATCTGTCACTGAACGCAGCTTTATTTTCCTTTGCAGAAAGTATGGTTGTTGATTTGCGTTTGCTTGCTCAGCTCTTTTTTTCCCTCCACTCCTGCCTTTGCACTGAACAGAATTTGGTACCCAGGTGGTACTAATTGCTACATTTAAAGGTGCAGTAGCTGTCAACATCATACTACTTTTTTTGGCTGTGAATGTGTCCTCAAAAGACTACTTCTGTGATGCTAAGCTTGCCACACCTGTAGCTTCAACTGTATTAGCAAAATACTGTGTTTAAAGTTGGAGTTAATTTCAGACCAAGTTTCATAATCAAGGAGCAAAGATTGTGCTGCCCAGCAGAAGTGAGAGTCAATGCTGAGGCTGGGCAAACGCTGGTCCTGCGAACCAGAGGGCTAATATAAACCCCTGTCCTCTCTACATGGCTCCCTCCCAGAAGAATAGTTCCATGTCTGCAGGCAGTGCAATCTACTACTGAGCTGTCTGTCAGTGTCTGTAGCCTCTTTTTATTTAAGTTCATTACTGTGGATCTGAACTAGACATGTTAATTTAAAGAACTTTTTCATAAGGTGTTTGTTGAAAGAAAAAGACATTGCACTGACATGAAAACATGTACATAACATTTTGTAAATAAGCCAATGAAAACTATGTATTTGAATATGAACTGTACAAAGTACTGTTCTTGTAGCTGTATATGGAGTGACACCTTTGATCTGTAACAAAATACCTAAGCAACAAATTAAATTCTGCAGAGGAAATGACAACATCAGAAGGAAATGTGTTTTGATTTGAGTAATACCAATTTTACTTTTGGCCATAGTGGTGTAGCACTACAAATGGTGAGCATGTGGTTGGTTGGTTCACCACTTTGGTCTGGAGCTACTACTGGAGCAGTCCACTGTTTCGTCCATGCTGGTGGATGGGTGTGCAGTGCAGCAATTCTACATAACATTCCCCATTATGATTCCACAGATAAGCTCATGTCAGTGTTTGCTATCCCCACCTCTTTATATGCCAAAACCTCTGTGTTGATTCATTATTCATCCAAGCCGTTATTAAGGGGAAATTCTACTGTGTAACCATAAACCCTTTGTATTAGTGCTAATTCATGCTGCACTAGGATTGTAAACAAACCTGCTAAACTTTATCATTTCAAAAGGGCAATTGTGACATTAACATGTAGCTCAAAGCTCTGCTGTGCTTAGGGCAACTTCCTGCCAAATCTTGTTTAAAATACTTGTACTCATCATTTTACTTCCTTAGTGGGGAGGAATGTGAACTGTTGGTGCAGCTGGTCTGTCAGATGAGAGAGGAAACCGCATAGGGTCTCTGAAGCAACTTCCCCGAATTAAACACTGCTTCATTTACTGAAGCAGATCTTTCTGTCCCACGCACTGTGTGAAGGGGCTTTCATCATCCCATCTAAACCTGACAACATAGTTTAATCCCTCACAGAGTTCGTACTGTACATGTACCCTTAGCTCCTATGAAAAAAAAAAAAATTGAAAGATAAGCTAAAGCTCACATAGGTTTATTCAGTATTACATTTGAGATACTTGTGTTCTTTTTGAGTATTTCCACTGCATGTTAGTTTATACTTTGAAAATACTTTGTACACACACTGTATGTAGACCAGAAGCAAATATTGCACTTCATATGTCTGTCAGCTGTAGTTGCTACTTAACAGAAGAAACCTATAATGACCTTATGCAAAATGAGGCATTGTCATGAAGTACACCACCCAACAGTACAAAATTACTACTTTTACTAAAGAATCTGAATACTTTCTCCACCACCTAGCCTGTTAAGGGGAAATGAAATGATCCAGTCAGTGAATGATTTAATATGAACAAAAATGTAATTTATGCTTTTTTTCATCATAATTACATAAACAGTTTGAACAACTCTTAAAATGTTTGGTTGGAAAAAATATGGCAAATTTCTGTGGTTTGGATCCAACAGAACTAGTAAGTTTGTTTATTGTTTGCACCATTTTACATTTTAGTTTCTTTGACCTTCATGTCTCAAATAATTGAATAGGTAAGTTGTTGCTTTATTGTGTCTGGGAGAGTTGATATGACTAGTAACAATCAAAGTGAAAATCAGCTAACATGTGTCATGTATCTCAAACCACCTGCTGCTACGGCATTTCCTCTGCTATGTTGTGGGTGACACTCAACGAGAGCTCCTGCTTTTGACAGTGCAGACAGGGTGGAGGTTTACACAACACATGGTTGAATTCTTGAAAGATTTTAATGTCTTCTGGTTGATCCAAGCAAAATAAATACAGAGCTTCAGCTTCACTGTTGCAGCTGGTTTCTGATCAGTATCCCAGTTGGTTAAAGGATGGACTTTATCAAGTTGGCGTTCATCAGAAAACACAGGTATGACAGCTTCATACTGTAATAGAGCATTTAATGTGAATGTGTGAGCTCAGTGTGTCTCTTCCTGTGTGTTCTTACTGTTTTGGACTCAAACACTGGTAGCTCTGTTACCACTGCTGCTAAAGGTTAGTAAAGCTCCTCATTGAATCATTTAAAAGAAAGTCCCATCATCTGATTTCTAATGAAACATTAGTAACATTCTTTCTGCTCTTCATTTCCTTGGATCAGTGATGTTATTTTAATGATATAATACCCATCTTCTAGTCTTCAATTACTCACTTGCATCTGAGACAAAATTACCCTTGGTGAGCAGATGACATCATGGATAATAATTCTACCAGTACATGTACAGGTAAGATTTACAGTCATTGCCAAAACTATTGGTATCCCTGTATTTCTCTCAGATAACACAACACCTCTCCCAGAAAATTGTTGCAATCACAGAGTCTTTTGTATTCTCATGTTTATTTCTATTGTTTGCATTGGAACAACATTCAAAAAAGCCAAATCTGATACATTCCACATAGAACTCCAGAAATGGACTGGACAGAATTATTGACACCTTTTCAAAATCATTAGAAATAGTTGTATATCAAGCA